GGCAGGTGTGGCCCCTGCCGGCGCCGGAGGGGGGGGGGGGTGACCTGCCTGCTAGCTTTGCAGATGTTGTAACCATTGTGATTAATCGACATCTTGAGACTCTGAGGGCCGCGCAAAAAGCAAAAGCGACGAAAAACACACGGCGATTCGTGTTGTGTCATGTATAGCCAATGTAAGAAGTAAGCTGTTTCCTTCACCTCACCGAAAGAACCTGAAGGAATTAGTGTTTAGGGTTTAGGGTTTAGGCTTCAGGGTTTAGGGTTGACTACAGTGTGTTAAAAAACTTGAAACGCAGGACTACGTCTAGCGCAAACGCTGATAATTACGACATTTGTTTGCTTCGTTCAATATATATTCCAATACATATAATTCATATGGCGTTCACAAGAGGCGTGCTCTTCTCCAGCATCAGCCCTCCCGGCGCCGGGCGGGGCAGGTGGCGGTGGCTTCGTTGAAGGTTTAAGGTTGAGTCGGTGGTTTAAGGTTTTGGGTCAAATCGTTAAACATTCTTCTCGCATTCTCATTACAAAAAACTGAGGAACACAAGACAACATGACTTTCATTACTTCAAAAAATAGTTACTGACAGAAAAAATGGTTGCAGATCTGAAATATAAAGAAATTGTATTTCTTGCATGCCTTTGAGGCCTCCCCCGGCGCCGGGAGGTGCGCCGGCCTGCCCCGGCGCCGGGAGGGGCGCCGCCTGCTCCGGCGCCGGGAGGGGCGCCGCCTGCCCCGGCGCCGGGAAACACGAATGGGCTCTGGCTAAAGCAAAAGCGAAAACATTATAATTCCTTTGTATAATGAAATGAATATCGTTCCTAGCTATGGGAATGGCAAGGAGGCGTGCCTCCTCCGAGACAACGCCCGTCCCCTCCTGTCCTTGTCCCGCTAGAGGTTCAAGATGGAAAAGAACATCTTTTCGTCCTGGGCTTCCTGAGAAGGCGCTCTGAGACAGATGCCGCGCAGTGAAGTTGCTTCGCAGTCTTTTACACCCTGATTGTCATCATTTCCTTCCACTGGTGGAGCTGGCATCCAGGCTCAAACATGGGACTTCCACTCCGGGACAATGTCAGGGTCTTGACTACAAGGGCTCAATACTGCCATCAGTTCATCCACGCAGGGGTGTTGCTCTCAACCCGCTCAGTGCTTTTAAGTTTTTCAGGTTCTGTGAGCGTGCCGCTGTCGCCATGGTGGTACGTGGTGGCGCGGTCGTTGCATGCGAGATGGAAGACAGCTTGGTGGCAGCGGAGCCCAAGAAGGCAAAAGCTGCCCGGAAAAGCAGAGCCAAAGCAGGCTGCAAGAAGCCGCCGCCTCGCAGATCAGCCTTTGCCGGGAAAGGCGTTCCAGACGAGGGCGTTGAGCGTCGAAAAGCACTCTCTCGGATTTATGAGCAGCGTCGAAAAGCCCGGCAGGACATCGACAGAAAAGTCGCCAAGTCGGCGGCCCCGGGATCATGTCTGAGAGATGAAATCGCGAAGGCCAAAAACTTCAGCAGCGTGACGGACGTGCTGCGCGACTGTCAAGTCCGTGTGGCTCATGAGCTGAAGCGTGTTCGGGAAGCTGGCCGTGAGTTGGTGATCGACTTCGAAGAGCGAGAGACCTTTCTCAAAATCATCCAGCACAGGCTATCCCTTCTGGGTGAAGACGACGATGCTTGAAGGGCTTCTACACTGCAGCTGCACATGTCAGCGATTCGTTTCTACACAGAGATTGCGCTTTGATTGGGCCGTGTCCTTGGATGCCCAACGTTTTCTTCTCATGTTCACACATGAGGTCCCTTGGGGGAAATGCGTGAAGTGTTGTCGCCCTGACAGTGGAAGTCTATAGCCAACTCAAGACACCCTGACTAGTCTTAGTCAGAGTAAGAAGTGCAAAGACTCAGAGCCCAGGGCATGACAGCACGTTCCAGCATTAGGGGCAGTCGGAAATAGCATTTGCGACTGATGCGTTGGCAGCTGCGGCGTCCAGGTCCGAGATTTGTTTCGGAGTTCCGCTACATGTAAACTTAAACAAGGTGTTCGGAAAACTCAAAGGACCTGAGCGTAGTTGCTACAAGTTTCTTTTGGAGGAGGAGCGTCCGAGCGCCCGGGACCCAAACCAAAAAGATTAACTCAGACGCCGTAAGCTTCCACAACCGATAGCTGCTATTTTCGGTGAGAGCACGGATCACCCAAGCACTTCGTATGCCAAGTCACACTGGCAAGTTCATTATTCTTGTACCCGGTCAGGAAAGGAAACGTTTCAGAGAAGGCGACAGTGCGTTTAAGGGGGTGTGCCTGATGGCCCGAGGCTTTATGGTCATAGCGCATGCGCAATGCGGAGCAGAAGTTGATAGGCTAGGTGCGTTCCCGTCATGTCACCCAGTTCCCTAGGCACCGCGAAGCCCACAACGACTTGCAAACCCTGAACCCAGTGCGCAAGCCCAAGTGGCAGTTAAAGCTACATCGCGAAGACAATCATCACATCCTCGCCAGGCAAGAGAATGACATCAGGGAAGGCCTGCAAAGTGTCTGTGGATCCAGGGCATGTGCAGTGTTCTGGTCCACTGGTTGCTCTGGGATAGGCTGTGTAAGAGAAAGATATGCCACAAGTGTTGCTTCACACCAACAATGATATGAAGCCCAACCCTAAACTAGCGATGTGCCTTGGTCCCCAACTCGTCCCCAAGTTATTCACACCAATCACTTGAGTACCCCCCAAACAAACAAGAGACGCGTCACGGCAGAAGACAAGCCTTGATCATCCGTCGAACCCAGACATCCAAAACCCTTCAAACGATAAGACTGAAAACAGGAACTCCTATTTGAGGTCTCCCGTGTGTGGATTCGTTTGGAGCGATCTTGACTTCATGCGTCGCAGAGACTAAGAAGTGTTGCAAGCTCTAAAGGTGTTATTCCACTTGCCATGATTAACTCCGTGAAGAAACTGCAGAGCTTAAGCCCTGTGTGCAGGATTCCGTAGCGCCGCGCCGCACTCTGCTGCATATACTTGGAAACACTGGTCACTAGCCCTGGGCCCTGGGCAGACCTTTGTAAATGTTTCTTGTCACTCGCACCCTTCCGCCCCTTCGGATCTGCTGCAGGCATGTCCACGTAAATTCCTTGTCTGGGCCGAGCACCGTGCGCAGGCACGACCTCAAGCCAGTAGTAGTTGTGACCTGGCTCCTCTGCGTAGCATTGTGGCTTATCACCTTGTGCAGGTGCACCCCCGCCTGACCCATGCTTTTTGGTGAGTGCAGCCAGGTAGAGCCCTTGTGGTGCGATGCACAAATGATACCATGGCCGAAGTTTCGGCTGGACGCCGCTGGTGTAATGAAAAAACTAGGCCACCCGGCACCCGAAACCGAGGCGGGAACCGCTCAGGTAACCTTTCAGCCTAAAAGATTACTTGGGCGGGCCTTGGGGTTTGGCTTAGGCTTTGGGGGGTATTGGCTATCAGCTTGCGCAGGCGCAACCAAACCCCAAAACCTATCACGCGCAGCCCCCTTAAACCCTGACGCAAGAGGGCTTCCGCAGCACAATCACTCTGAGCTCCAGGCCTGAGAGGGCTTAGGTTTAGGGTGTAGGACGTAGGCTAGGGTCTAGTGTCTAGGGAACAGGGGCCAGGTTTAGGGTTTCGGTAGGGTCTGGGGCTTAGGCCAGGGTTCTAGGGACCACCTAGAACCTACACCCACTATGGCCCTATGCGCCGACTCTCTCTTAGGGTCTCGGGCTTAGGCCAGGCTAAGGGTTTCGGACGACCACTATCACCCTTTGCGGGCGACTAAACCCTAACCCCTCCCTAAACCCAGCAACTAGCTATCACCTTGTGCAGGCGCAAACCACCCCAAAAAAAACCCAGCAACTAGCTATCACCTTGTGCAGGCGCAAACCATCCCAACAAAAAAACCCAGCAACTAGCTATCACCTTGTGCAGGCGCAAACCACCCCAAAAAACAACCCAGCAACTAGCTATCACCTTGTGCAGGCGCAACCCCCCCCCCCCCCAAAAACCCACCCCCCCCCCCCCCCCCCCCCAAACCCAGCAACTAGCTACCACCTTCTGCACGCCCCCCCGCCCCCACCCAAACCGAACCCTCCCCGAAACCCAGCAACTAGCTAAATTATCACCTTGTGCAGGCGCAGAACCACCCTCCCCCTCTGAAGCCTAAACCCTAACCACCCCCAAAAAAAACCAACAACTAGCTATCACCTTGCGCAGGCGCAACCACCCCCCCCCCCCCCCCGCCGACAAAAAACGAACATCACTGGTTCCCCAAGCCCGAACGCTACAAGGTTTTTGGGTTTAGGGTCTAAGGTTCAGGCTCCAACCCACCCACAACAACCCGGGACCTATCACCTGTAGCAGGCGGCCCCCTCCCCCACCACCTCAACTCTAAACCCTACTACTAAGGCCTAGCAATCACCTTGTGCAGGCGCAACCCACCACCTATTAACTACCACCTTGCGCAGGCGCTACTGCCCCAAAACCTGAATACTCTCCTCCACTAAACCCACAAAGTTTGTTGACTTTCTTTCAAGCAAACTGATCCTACTTTTGTCCTAAGCCCAGGTTCTCTCAAAGAAAAAATCATGGTTTCAGCCAAAGAAAACAAATCTGTTTGTGTTTGGCATAGATATTCATGTTTTGGTGGAAGGCAAATTCATAGCTTTTCTGAGTCTTTGCGATGACACATAATTGTCCGAAGTCCATGTTTCTTTGGAGCAAAACGAACATCATGAATCATGAGTCCAGTCAAAGAAAACAAACAGGTTATCTTTTTTGTGGCACAGATTTTTGTTCTTGTTGTTGATGGAGAAGTCAGCTGGCTTTCCCTGAAATACTGAGGGGCACATCAGACAACAAACCTCCGGAGATCGACACAAAGAGCCTTTCTAAGGCCACCCAAGTGTTAGCATAAGGGGAACATCCCAAATGCTACTGGCAGCAAGTCCTAAAACCCTAAACCCTAAACCCTAAACCCTGCTTAAAAGCCTGTTTGCTTCCACTTGTCGCCAGGGGCGGCTTCGATGCCGAGAAGATCTGCGACAACTTGCAGCGGCTGGGTTCCTCGTCCGCGTTGGGGCAGATTTTCGGTTTAGGGTTTAGGGTTTGGGGTTTAGGGTTTAGGGTTTAGGGTTTGGGGGGTGTTGAAACTCCTTGCGCGGCCGCGCGTAAGAGCTTGTAGCGCAAGACGCAGCCAGGGGCTCTTGGCAACAGCCAGAGCCCTTGACTGCAATAAAGTACAACGAACTTGACCTCCCCGAAGAGTTCGTGGTCGTCCTGTCAGGTTTCGTTTTCAGGAAGAAACGTCTGCAACTATAGCTGTCATTCCAGAATTCTTGCAGGAATTACGGTCCTTTTTCTGGTGGGCGGCGATGGCACACAATTCGCAGGACACCTGCTGTATGAGGCAGCACGAGTCCCAGCTAACAATCGGCATGCTTCTCTGCTTTGCTAATGCCCTTGCCAACTTGCCGCGCTCGTACTTTTCCCTGTGCGCAAGCTGAACCCGAACCCAGCAGACCTTAAACAACTGATTTCTAGAGCTAAAAGGAAAGCGACGACTCGACGTGAGCATCGTGGGCATTCCCAAGTCTATCGACAACGATGCCTGGGACGCAATTGCTTGGCGGGTGTAGGGTTTAGGGGGTTTGGAGGGAAAGTTTGGGCCACCGCGGCGCAGATTTTCTGAATCATTTTTCTTGCAGCAGGGCAGAAGAAGATGCGCTGCCGGTTCGTCGGTGTAGATGTGCAAACAATCTGCCGTAGCAGCCGTAGTTGTCGGGCTCATGGGTTGTGAGGGTCAGCCGACATCGGGACGTTTGCCATTCTTGGTCCCTTCGATTCTCGCAGGAACGCAGGGTTGTTCAAGAGTTATCATGGGCCCTTTTTTTGGATGTCCCTTAATGGCTACCGCCAGTGCCGACCCCAAGAGCTGCGAATTGCCAGAGCTTGAACCGCAGAAGCCCTGAAGACCCGTGGCAGGGTGGGGCGGTGGGGCAGGGAGCAGGGGGTAGGGGGGGGGGTGGGGGAGGGGGGTGGGGTGCGGAGAGCATGGGGGGGGGGGGGGGGGGGGGCGGGGGGCAAGACAAAGACTTCACGGCCACCGACCCCAGCAGTCAGCGGATAGCTTTCATGGTCGTCTCTTCGTTTAATCTTAAGAGTATCAGGATGGGTTTTGATTATTTCAAAAGTATCAAGTCGGGGTTGAAACATAAACCTTACAGAACCACCCAGGACGTGGTCCTGTTTGACCGGACCTTCGGGTTCGAGACTGCGGTGGCAAAGGCCTGCTTAGCCAACATCTCGTGGACAACTACGAAGAGATAGAGAAGCGTTGGTGAATTTGTTTACGCATATATATATATACACACATATATATATATACACACATAGATGTGGATATTTGTATACGCATTTGGATATTCTGTATTTATCTAGATATGACAAGGAGGACATCCGACGCGAAAGCTTACGCCCTAAACCCCAAGCCGTGGCCCTAATCCCAATTCGCCCTAAGCCACCCTAGACCCCTCAACCTTAAGCCGTAAACGCCAAACCCTAAACCCTAAACCCTAAACCCTAAACCCTAAACCCTAAACCCTAAACCCTAAACCCCAAACCCCAAACCCCAAACCCCAAACCCCAAACCCCAAACCCCAAACCCCAAACCCTAAACCCTAAACCCTAAACCCCGACTGCTGTCTGAACCGCCAGGCATCGGAAGTGATCCGCAATGCCTTGGTGGAAGCCAGCAGTTGTGACCGAGGCTTCGGGGCTTAGGGCTGCTTCGGGTTAGGGTTTAGGGTTTAGGGTTTAGGCTTCAGGGTTCAGGGTTTTAGGTTTAGGGTGTCGGGTTTAGGGTTTAGGGTTTAGGGTTTAGGCTAAGGTTGGGGGATGGAGTGGGGCGGGGGGGGGGGGGGGGGGGGGCGATTTCAAGTTCTAGGCTTAGCGGGTCAGAGGTTGCTAAGGGCCTCCGGTTTCAGTCCTTGCGCGGGCTTTTGGCGTTCCAGGCGTCGGCATTGTGAAGCTCATGGGCCGAGACTCTGGCTTCGTCGCCATGCACGCCGCCACCGCGGCAGATGTGGTGGACCTCTGCATGATTCCCGAGGTGAACGTGAAAATGACGCTTGGGCAGGCCCTTGGGATGTTTTCGATGTTTCCCCCCCAGTGGGATTTCACCTGGGTGATATTGAGGAGTATCTTTCAGAGAGTACCCTAAACCCTAAACTTTAAACCCCAAACCCTAAACCCGAAACCCTAAACCCTAAACCGGGGCCATGCAAGGAAAGATGTCCTCGAACATGTTGATGCCACCTTGGCCAGAAAGAAGTACATGGTCATCGCCGTCGCAGAGGGCGCCGGGCAAGAGCACCTAGGACCGGGAGTAGGCCCTTTTTTTCCTTTTTTAGGGTGGGGTTCCCTTAAAACCAATAAGGGCACCCTTTTTTTTCCTAGGTTACTCCCGGGTCTAGGCACGTCTCCACGGGGAAGAAAGACGATACGGGCCATACAATCTATGGCGACATCGGTGTGTTCCTGAAGGACACCCTCAACAAGCATTTGTCACTGTGACGCAATTCACAGCCTGGCGACCGTTTTGACCTGCAACACAGGTGCGTAGTCACGGTTACAGTAAAGTGCAGAGGCCAGCAGGGTTTTCAGAAAGGGTCCTCAGTGTGACCGACTATTTCACCGCCTATGGTCTTGATCACTTGTTCAACTTACCAGACGGTAGCGATATAGCATTGCTTGCAACGGCTAAGTGTCTACGTGGCCCCCCAGACAAGGAAGCCTTCTGGGGGTCGCACGTTCTACATCGATCCGTCGTACATCATCCGATCCGTTCCCATCACTCCCAACGATCACATCTACTGCGTCCGCCTGGCCAACGACGCGGTTCACACGGCCATGCGCGGCTACACCGGAGTTTGCGCAGCCTGGGCCAGCAACAGAAAACAGGTGTGCACGTGTGTCTCTGTATCCTGCCCACGCAGCTCACCCTAAACCCTAAGCCCTAAACCCTCTGTCTAATCTTTTCTCCTAGCCGGCCGAACGCCCCCAGGTCGGTGCCATGCACAACATCGTGTGCATGCTTCCTTCGAGGCAAGAATGGGGGAGCCTGGCAACGGTGTGATGCCTTGTCTCGAATCGGACATACTGAAAGCCCTGAAGTCTGGAGAGTAGGAACGCTGCTGCGACATGGGTGTTTACGATATTAGGGTACCTTCTTGGGGGTCCTTCTCCTATTTTGGGGTTCTATATCAGGGGTCTGTTGTTAATAAAAAGATATTTTGAACAAAAACACCGTTTGCGTAAACACGGATCAACATGCAAAGAGTTCACACGGTATCCGGTACTGGACCATCCTGGCACAGACATTCGAGTCGTCGGGTTTATACGATGTTTAGGTTTTATGGACTTTATTGAGCTTACAGGGTTTATAGAGGTTAAACAGGTTGAAGAAGGGTGTATAGGCTTTATGGGCCTTACAGGGGTTGTGGGACTCAGGGACTTGCATGTGTGCTTTAAAGGCTCACGTGCTGCCAGGCTCATCGCAACTGGAAAGAAGAAGGTCCGACCACATAGCAGCTCCTGGCAAGGCTGCGCCCGAAACTCAGAAGCTGCGATGCCTTTGTCGGCTCCTGAACCCTAAGACTTGTTAAGCATGGTCCTGGTAGGTATTGTTAAGTATGTATCTATTCTATGTAAGTGTATATCTACACACCTGTCCTTCAGATCTGTATATGTATATGTATATATATATATATATATATATTCGTCTCGTTATGCAGATAGACTTTGTACATCTTTTTCCCCGCAATTTTTTTTTCGAGGTCCAGACGTGCAACATGCCAGCCGCACTGTCGGGGCTCTTCTGAGGCAGTGCACACCGCACGCCAGTTTGTATAGTGGCCGTTTATGTTTTGGTCGTCCTTGCTGACTACAGAAGCAAGTTCACAAAGTTCACGCTATGGTGGCACGTACCAGTCTGCAGCCCAACTTTGTACAGGTTGTTGCAGCCTGTGCTTTGCTTAGGCTTAAGTACCTGAGAATGATCAACGGCTTAGTTGTGTTTGCCATGTAGGCTCCAACTCACAGCCCTGAAGTATACACAGCAGTTGGCGAAGGACTTGCCAAGCATCTGCACAGGGCGTGCCCCGCACGGTCCAAGAAGTGTAGGCAGCTCGCTCGTGGGCTGGAATCTCTTTGAGGTAGCTCGACTCCGCGACAAGGCAATTACACATAATATCAATGGCGATTATGTCAAAACAGTGAATGGTTTTGTCACTTCGCAGCGAGTAGAGGCTGCAGATTGCGCATGCTTGCAGTCCCTATTCACGCACTCATGCGCCATGCTTTGCCATCATCTCTTCCGCGATGAGTCTGTGCGAAATGGTCGCTGTGTCAACTCAAAGTTAGACAAAGCCGGAAGCCGCGTCCGCCTTTCCTAGCTGACAAGCTCACCTTCAAGCCATGCAGCAGCAAGGCGGGTTCCTTGTTGTCCCACCAGCAGCACCGCAACGCACCCGACACACCCCCTGAGCGCGCTCAGCAGTCTTGCTCGGCACTTCAGGTCAGCAGGTGTACGAACTCGCACAGCAGAGCTCCGTCAGCGCCGTTGTCGCCCGCATCCGCGCACGAAGCGCTTCTGGCTGCAAAGGATCGGCTCTAGATTCATGTTCTGCGCGTATTGCACATCTTCCACCATATTGCACCAGTTGCTTATAAGCCCTAAACCCCAAATCCTCAACCCTAAATCCCCTAAACCCTAAACCCCAAATCCTAAACCCTAAATCCCCTAAACCCTGATGTCTGCGTCGAGGCACCGGGGCGCCCGTACCCTTCCAGTCTCAAGCGCCAGTCCAGAACTCGGAATCGGGTCGAGGACGGTCAGCCCAAAGCGATTTAGGGTTTAGGGTTTAGGGTTTAGGGATTTTAACACTGTGCGGGGGTTTCTCGGAAATTAGGGGTACCTTATTGGTTTTTTTGTTTGTTTTACAACAAGGGCATCCTACTATTTGGTGATCTATATTAGGGTCCCATATTTTCGTAAAGCCCCATGTCCTCATTGAGAGTTCTATCGCGAAAGCTAATCAGCGTAGCCAGGCTTGAGTTTCACGTACTTAAGCAAGAGAACCGGTCAACCCCGGGGCGAAGGGGGAGGTCCTGAAGCCATCAGGTAAATTTCGAACCTACCGGGGAATTTCCTTTCAAAAAGATGGGTTGGGTCGCCCATGCGCGGCCGTTGCGTTGCAGATGGCAGTCTGTACAAGCGCGCGTTCTCTGAAGCGCGCGTGTTTCGGAGAACTCTGCAGATCTGGATCGATCACGGTCTCCATTATGTGAGCGCATGAGTATGTCGCAAAAAACAGGCAAATTCGACAATTCGGTTTAGGCGTAGTTTATTCATAAGAACACATACAGTAACAGGGTTACACGAGGATCTTGAGTTCTAGATCGCGGTCTACCTGAGCGCGCGTCTTCGTACATCTTTGTATCTCGAGCGCGTGTTCTGGAGAGCTCCCTGGACCGAGATCGTAGGGTTTAGGGTTTAGGGTTTAGGGTTTAGGGTTTAGGGCATGTTGCTCCAGATATGCCCCCCTGGTACGTCTTTCTTCTCGCAAGTCGCGTGTCTTGGGTGGCTCCGGAGGTCCAGGTCGCGACCTCTGTGTAGGGTTTAGGGTTTAGGGTTTAGGGTTTAGGGCACATGTTTCCTCAACATGTTGCTTGCGCGGGCTTGAATTAGGTTTAGGGTTTAGGGTTTAGGGTTTAGGGTTCAGGGTTTAGGGTTTTGGGTTTTGGGTTTTGGGTTTAGGGTTTAGGGTACTTACAGATCGCGGTCTGTGCAGTATCCGTGCGGTCTTCGAAGGTCATCCTCGGTGGATCGAGCAAAAACACCCGGGCGTGAATCCACGCCAGCTTTCGTTCTCGTCGGCTTTGCCCTTCAGGGGCACAAATCTATGTGTACGTATGTCAAAAATATATACACACGTACCTCGTATGTATAACAAATATGTATATGCATGTGTGCGTACAATATAATATAATATAATAACAAATGAAATAAAATAAAATATTATAATCTATACATATCATTTGTTGTTATTACCTTGAGTCGGGAGGGCGGGCTGCTGCGGCTAAAGGCAGCGACATGACACAAACCCCCCCGTTCTGCCCCTGTTTTTTTACCCGGGCTCTTGAAAGAGCAGGATACACCCTGGGCCGCGAGTACCCATGCATGGGAAACTTACTTCGCCTTAGTTGAACTTTAAACTTTCTGGGCTTCCTTGCTTGGTAGGAATCTTAAAGCTTAACCTTTCTTTCCCCCTTTTTCCCCCTTGGTTATTGGAGAAGTAAGGAAATGGGTCCATGCTCAGCTCTATCCTGGCTCCGGTGGGCGTCTCCCTCACCTTCTGCGTGATCGTCGGCAAGTCGCTGCACATGTTCGGCAAGTGAGCTCCGGCGTTTTGTCTTCCGCTCCTTAGAGAGGCTCCCTGCGGGGGCTTTTGCAAGGCGCTCGCAAGGAGCGCCAAGGAGCCAAAGGCGCAGAATTTGTAGCTTTGCTGTGACGTGGCATTGTCCAAGGAGGCAAGTTGCAAGGCTGCGGTGCTGCCGTTCACTGCCCAAGTCGGTGATCGGTGGGTGCGCGGCAAGGGATGGAGTCCACGTGATAGCAAGGGAGTGGCTGTATGTTTAAGATCGCAGCCCATTTATGAGGGTGATATCTATCCATCGAGCACCTGTCGCCTCAAAAAGCTGTGGCGCCCATGGCTCCTGCTTCTGCAGGGGAGATTGCGTACCCCCTGAACCTCTGCAGTTTGTTAGCGCCGTCTGCCGCCTTTGCAGCTGCGGGTTCCGATGGGGTTTAGGGTTTAGGGTTTAGGGTTCCAAATGCTCGCACTCGGGCCATCTATTACAACCAGTGGTGTGCCGGAAGCCATGGGGCTGTAGCAGCTCGCCAGAGTGGAGCCATGGCTCTGCAAGTTACCTTCACCCAAGACATGGGCCAGACACACCAGCTCGACGCCGAACCAGACGAAAGCCTTGGGTCTCTGAAGCAAAGGCTGTCTGTGATGCCGCTAAGCTCAAGAAGGGGGATTATACGGACCCCCAACATGGATCCCAAATGGTAGCATCCCCTTGTAATAAGGACCCCAGTCCCCCAGATGGAGAGGCCTATTACGGGTCTTCGACTCGGTTCTCTGCGCCAAGCCTTTGTGAGACAAGCCTTTTCTAGTTAGGGGCTGGGCAGTTAACCTTTAACCTTCTTGCTTGGATATAATCCGACTAGAGACACAAAGGTGAACAACCTTTTCTGGGCTAGGGTGTTCAGCCCCTGGGTTGAGCACCCTAAACCCTAAAGCCCAAAACCCTAAACCCTAAACCCTAAACCCTAAACCCTAAACCCTAAGGTTTGGAGTGGCAGCAGTTGGACTGCGGCTGGAGCACGAGAAGAGGGCCTTGCTGGACGACGCGATTTCCTTGGAGGTCGCTTGGAAGCCGGAACCCTAAACCCTAAACCCTAAACCCTAAACCCTAAACCCTAAACCCTAAACCCTGAACCCTGAACCCTAAACCCTAAACCCTAAACCCTAAACCCTAAACCCTAAACCCTAAACCCTAAACCCTACACCCTAAACCCTAAACCCTAAACCCTAAACCAAGCCTTGGGCAGTGGCCCATTTTTTTTGGGGGGGGGGGGATTTACGAAGACAGGGGGGGCCCTAAAATGGCCCGTTATGGGGGGGGATTTACGAAGACAGGGGACCCTGACATGCCTAAAATAGACTCCCAAATAGTAGGATCCCCTTGTGGCAAGGACCCCAATAGGGTGCACCGACTTTCGGGAACGTCCTAAACCCTCAACCCTAAACCCTAAACTCTAAACCCTAAACCCTAAACCCTTACTGGGGCCATAGGCTCCCTTGCAGTGATTCCCAGGAGCTGCTCCCAGCTGACAGAGAAGCGGATGAAGATGCCCCCTGACTTACTGTTGGTTAGCAGGGAATGCATGGGGGAATGAGGTACCCTATATAGTCCCTAAAGGCCCTAAAGGGTATATATATATATATATATATTTTTTATTTATTTATCCGTATATATATATATGTATACATATATACACACATAGATTCCCTTGCTCCCTGCTAACACACAGTAAGGAAGAGGCCCCTGACCGCCCGCAGCTGCTCCTGCACGTCTCCGTGCGAAGTGCCGAGGAGACCAGCCAGCTCCAGGCTTTAACCGGCAGTCCGCGCAGCTTGCCTCGTTTCGGAGCCCTAAGCCCTAAACCCTAAACCCTAAAAAAACCCTTAGTTAAAACATCCCCAACCCCAAAATCCTAAGCCCTAGCATCCTAAACCCTAAAAGACCCCCTAAACCCTAAAACCCCCCAAACCCCCCCTAAACCCTAAAACCCCTCAACCCTTAAAACCCTCACCCCCTAAGAAGACCTTTAGGGAACCAGGACTTCCGAAAGCTTCATCTGGCCCTAAACCCTAAACCCTAAACCCTAAACCCCGGAGGTGCCGAGGTCGTCCATCTGCTGGGAAGGCTCCCCCTCGCGGCGCTGAGCCAGGAGGTTGCCGAGCCCGGTTGGGGTTGAGACTTCAGGGATTGCAGGGTTGAGGGCCTGCAAATAAACTACCCTCTGTACGTATGTAAATCTATGTAAATAAATAAATAAATAAATAATATATATATATATATATATATATATATATATATGTATATGTATATATGTGTCAAAAAAAAATATATATATATATATATACACACATATATCGTACTTTCTCCTGCTTTCTTTGGTTTGGAACTCACGCTCTTGCAAATTGCCGTGAGGTGATTCTCACCGCTGTCGGCCGGGCTCCTGAAGCTTTGGGCCATGTTGGGGAGTGGCGGGATGAGAAGGAGCGCATGGACAGTTCGCCGTTAGGGTTTAGGGTTTAGGGTTTAGGGTTTAGGGTTTAGGGTTTAGGGTGGTAGGGCAACAGACTAGCTGATCCACTGGATGCAACGTCAACTGACTGGTTTTGGACGACGAAACCAACAAATTCTTGGGCACATGCCCCTGCGAAGCTCTTCGCAGAATCCGTGAGCATGACGGGCACAGCTACGAGAAAGTGGAGAACACCCCAGTTCATCTCCATGAAACTTCGACGCAACGCAAATACAACTTAAGGGCCACCAGAAGCTTGCACCCATGGCGAAAAGAGCCGGCGACTTGTATTTTCCACATGCATTGCCAAGAAACTGCTCCAGAGACATGTGGTATTCCATCCTCTTTTCTCGGTATGGGGGTGTACGATACTTGTATTATAGGGGCACCTTTTTGGGGTCCTTGTTTGCGGGGGTCCTGCTATTTGGGGATCCACTTTAGGATAAGCCCCCCATATGTTCACCCGCAGCCCTGACCATGGCCTTGACAGGAGGTGGTCTTGCGGGCTGTGGCGCAAGATGGGCTGGTGCTGGAAATGGCGTCGGAAGTGCTGAAGGCACAAGAAGCATCCGACCACTTGGCGGTTCGTGGGTACTTGGTATAAGTAGGGTGGCTATGGTGATGACCTGGTTTAGGGTACTTATAACCCCACTTGTGTAAGCACCCATGAACCTTCAAGCATGAGGGTGTGCAAGCCACAGCCGATGTTGGTCTATCTGTTCGGATTGCGCGCCCGACATGTCGTCAGGAGGACGAGGAGGTCCTTCTCGCGGCCGTGTCGCAGAACGGTCTCGCGCTGGAGTTCGCCGTGGAGAGGGCCAAAGCAGAGCCGAAGGCCAGCCTTAGCTGATGTTCCCTTCTGCAAACCCTAAACCCTAAACCCTAAACCCTTAACCCTAAACCCTTAGCTGATGTTTCCCTTTGCAGAAGTGGAACCAGTCCTGCTACGAGGTGGTGCGCGCGGCCGTTGCTCAGAATGGGCTTGCCCTGCAGTACGCGGCAGAGAGCCTCCGTGCAGATCGCGCCACGGTTCTCGCAGCCGTCTCGTGCGACGGGCTGGCGCTGAGATACGTGTCGGATGCGCTCCGAGCCGACGAGGAGACGGATCCCTAAACCCTAAACCCTAAACCCCTAAACCCTAAACCCTTTACGGTAGCCGGTCCTTGTTGCGCACGGAGACCTGACTGAGACTCTACAGACATCAACACAAACCCAGAGGCTGCTGGATTGGTTGATAGTGCGCGCCACTGCGGCCTGCGGGAACATAAGCCAGCCCCCCCCCCCCCCCCCCCCCCCCCCCCCCCCCCCCCCCCCTCTCTTGTTCAAGGCCCCCCCCCCTCCCCCCCCCCGCTTGTTTCAAGGGGGGGGGGGGCCCTCCCGCCCCGGTCAATTGAAGCCTCCCCCCCCCCCCCTCCCCCCTTTTATCAATTTTAATAAGATTAAGATTTCGATTTACTTTAATAGAAATTAACAAATACAAAACGTGGATTTTTTTTTAATAGGGAGCAACGGTTTCCAGCTTCTATTAGTGGCATTTCTATTTCTTTTAATAAAAGTATTCTTAATAGGGTTTCACTTGATTTTAATTCAAGTTCCAATTGGACTTCTTTTGATTCTAATCGGGTTTTTGCTACTTTTGAAAGATTTCTAATAATATGAATGAGGTTTTTATCCCTTCTAATAAGATTTGTATTGCGTTTAACGGGATTCGTATTAAAATAATAGAAATCCTTGTCGAATTAAGTTCAACTCCTATTACAATTGCTTGAACTGCTATTGAAATTAGTAGAAGTCCGATTAGAAAAAACAATTCCAACCCCATGAAAATTGAATTGAAATGCTACGAAAAAAGAAGGCAAATAGAAATCTTGTTACATTAATAGAAATCCTCTTGAAATTAGAAGGATTCCGAATAAAAACAATAGGAATCCTACCAAAAATGGCAGAGGAAATGTGGAATTGAGCATGGGGGGGGGGGGGGGGGGAAGGGGGGGGGAGGGGGGTTTGTGGGGGGGGGGGGGGGGGAGGGGGGGGGTTACCTTGAATATCCGCGGGCCTCTTTTTTACGCACTCTCGATTGATTTTGGTTTAGGGTTTAGGGTTTAGGGTTTATAAGGTTTAGGGTTTAGGGTTTAGGGTTTAGGGTTGGAAGATACTGGCAGGAGGTGGTCTTAGCGGCCGTGCAGCAGTGCGGAAGGGCCTTGCGCTTCGCGCGGGACGCGTGCAAGGCCCTCAAGCGCTTGCCAGGGCTTTGCATGACTTATAAGTGGTTCTCCACATTCAGGGGTAAGGAGGGACCCCTGGAAGAAGGGACCCTTAATCTTATGCTTTTACATGACCCCCATATATGTACCTTATATAGTCCCTACATGCCTAAGTAGCCCCTAAATGAAAGAACCCCTAGACCTAACCCCTAAGGTCCCTTGTAAGGGTCCCTCCTTCAGTCCCCTCCCTCAAGTAAGATGCGATGCGAGGGCTCCAGGGCAGCTTCCCCAAACCACCCTTTAGGGTTTAGGGTTTAGGGTTTAGGGGTTGATGATCCGTGACATCCAGGCCCAGGCTGCGGTGGTGGCGGAAGCCGTGCGGAAGGAGGGAGCGCCAGGGGCTTAGAACGTCCATGGGAAGCTGCGCACCCATCTTGCTATGTCCTACAAGTAGATGCAAAATGCAGGGTGTTTTTGTTCATTCTGACTGATCGAATTTCACGTATTAGACTGATGTTCATTCGGCCCCGTGCTTCTCCTTTGTCCAGGGCCTTGCGGCACGCCGCCCTGGGCTGCAGGGCAGATGCGGGCATTATGGCGCTTGCTGTGGCGCAGGCGGGCTTGGGGCTTGGGGTTTTGTAGTGTTATAGGGTTCTTGGGTGTATTGGATTCACACGGCTTTTGGTGTTTTAGGGGGGGTTTGAAATTGTGGGGTTTATGTGCTCTCAGCAACAGCACCAGTTCCACTCGAATTATCATGCCCGGGGGCTGGTTCCCTAAACCCTAGTTATAATTGCATTACGTACACATACCAAACAAGTTCTATATGTATTGTGTCTAGTATATGAAAAATGTACGTGTGCATATATAGATGGTCTTTAAAGGTATACACGCTCTTTAGCATATGAGAGGCCTAAACCCCCACACCCTGCAAGACCCCCAATGCCCCCTCGCAGGATGGTCTTGTGCTCGAGTTCGTCTCCGAGGAAGGCAAGTGCCAGAAGCAGTGCCCTGGAGCGAAGGGTGGGGGTTCAGAGGGTTTACATTGGGATGTTCCCCCTTATAATTATACTAAGAGTCCTTAATAGGGATTCTATAATCCGTAGTAGGGACTGCTAGTATAAGGGGGAACATCCCCAGGTTGGTAGGGTCTACAGTTTACAGGGTTTGTAGGGGTTTGCCGGGTTTGTAGGGATTTGAGGGATTCGAGGGGTTTACAGGGTTTGGCGGGCTAAACCCTAAACCCAAAACCCTAAACTGAGGGTTTTTAGGGTTCTGCTTTCACATGGGGGGTGACATGCATGGGCTTAGGTTGCTGAAGACCTCAAGAGTCCTTCTAGACCCCTCAGCCCTAAAAAGCCCTTGACCCCTTGAAAAAAAGCACCAGAAATCCTCTAAGCCCATACAAACTCATAAAGCCCATAAGCCCCCCAAACCGCAACAGGGAGGCTGAAAACCCCAAATAATCCTCAACCCTGAACCCTGGAGTTTTGCTTCTACCCAAGTCTAAGGCTGCAACCATGGGCCCTTAGTATGGTCCCCGTAGACCCTAAACCCTAAACTCTAAACTCTAAACCCTAAACCCGAAACCGTTCGAAGGGATTTCCGGGAGTTCGGATCCCCTGCCAAGGCTGGTCCTGGCCGCCGTGAGGCAAAGCGGCCTCGCGCTGGAGTTCGCCGCCCCGGCGCTCCGCGCCGACCCGGAGGTACCCAGCTTAGGGTTCAGGGTTTAGGGTTTAGGGTTTAGGGTTTAGGGTTTAGGGTTTAGGGTTTAGGGTTTAGGGTTCGGCTTCCCCAGTCTTGGGTTTCTATAGGGTTTTTCTTATGGGATTACAGGGTGTTGTATAGAGTTTGATTTTTGCCTTGTGGGGTTTTTATAGGGCTTAAACAAGGGTTTACAGGGTGCTTAATATAGGTGTCTTTGAAAGTTTTTAGGGGTTCAGTTTTCTCATGCTGAAAGGTCTTGTGGTTGTTGATTGCTGTCTTGCTTCTGATTTGTCCCCCCCCACCACCCCTCCCCCCCACCCCTCCCCCTTCCTTTATCTCCATGTTTGGCTGAGGTTGTCATGGCTGCGGTGGACAGCCAGGGCTTGGCGCTGCGCCACGCGGACCACGCGAGCCGGTCGGACCGAAGCCTGGCGCTTCGCGCTGCGACGCGGGACGTCCGCACGCTGGCGTACGTGGGGGAAGGCCTCACTGGAGACCGGAGCTTCGCGTTGGAAGCCGCCCCGTCGCATCTAACCCACTCACACCATAGCTGTGGTCATCGCTTCGGGATGCTTCCGGTAGTAGAGGGGCTACTGGTGGCGCCAGTACTCAGTTGCTACAGGCTGTGAAGCACCACGGCGCTGCTCTTCGGCACCTTCCAGCCTTTGCCGGAGACCGGGAGATCGTTCTGTCCGCCGTGCAGCAAGATGCAGCTTGCCTGATGCCCGATAGTGCCATGATAATATAGTATCGCCAGGACATGAAACGATGGGACATGAAAGGACATGGCTCTTGAAGCACAGTCCCGCCCTCCTGCAAGTTCGAGGCCACCATGCTGGGGGTGGCTTCGGCCGCGCTGCGCAGCGACCCGAGCGTCGTTTTTGAGGCCCTGCGGTCGGACCCCTCCGCCGTGCTCTACGCTGCGGAGCCCCTGAAGCGGGATCGAGACTTCATCCTCGCCGCCCTCCAGGTGAACCCACAGTCGCTCGCATATCTGCCGGACGTTCAAGGAGACCGGCAGATGGTGCTGCAAGCCGTGTCCGGTGACGGGAGCGCGCTCCGCCACGCAACGGATGCGTTGCTCCTGGACGAGGACCTTGTGCTGGAAGCTTGCGCCCTGAACCCTGATTCCCTCTCGCACGCGCCGGCCCTCATCTTCGAAGACGACGACTTCGTGCTCAGAGCCGTGGCTCGCCAGCCTCGTGCTTTCAGCTTCGCCTCGCACGACGTGCAGTCGGACCCTGCCTTTGTGTTGGAAGCCATCGAAGTGAACCCCGCGACCTTCCAGTATTGCTGCCAGGAGTTGAGGCAGGACCCTGCCTTTCTGCTCAAGGCGGCCTGTCAGACGCCTGCAGTCTTGTCGTACGTGGGCGACGACGTCCCTGTGGATGATGACTTCCTGCTGGAAGTTGTCGCGCTGCGCCCCGAAGCTGCATCTTGCCTGTCGGGCGGCCGCGGGAAGGACAAGGACATGGGGCATGGGGGTTTACGAAAACAAGAGAATGAAACTTAATATAGACCCCCAAATAGTAGGATCCTTAGTCTCCTCTTGAGCTGCCCTCCTACACCCCGGCCTTACACCCGGCCACAATCCGCTCGAGGACTTTGCCCTGCGAGCCGTGCAGAAGAATGCTTCTGCCATAAGGCTCGGACACGTCGCGCATCGTCAAACCTCCGTCTGACTAAGCAGTGCCTCAACCGCAGCCGCTTGAAAGGTACTTGGGAGTCGATGATGACTTCGCTCTGGAAGCCTTGCAGCTGTGTGGAGACGACGCTTGCCCAGCATGTCGAGAGAGAGAGAGAGAGAGTGCCTCACGGTTGCGGAGTCCAACCCTAAACCCTAAACCCTACATAAACCCTAAACCCATGGAGCATCCGGCAGGGCGTCTCGGTTCCACATCTGAGGCTTTGGCTTTTCTTGACAGCTTCCAGTCCAGCAAGCCGGCAGTTCTTGCGGCTGCGCGGGCCCTGGGCAACCTTCAACACGGGTTTAGGGTTTAGGGTTTCGGGTTTCGGGTTTAGGGTTTAGGGTTTAGGGTTTAGGGGACTGACGGTTCCTGACACATCCTGACACTGCTCTCCAGGTCCGCAGCTCTGGCACTGCCCTCGCCCACGCCTCGCAAGCGCTGCGCGCCGACCCGGAGGCACCTGGGATCCGATGAATGGGGATCTCCCAAAAATAGTTTGCCCAAAATACCCTTATCCTTCTTGGAGGAAGCACCAGAAACCAGAAAGGGTGCGACCCTCTTTTCGTAAAGCCCCTTTATTCACAGTGGCTGAGAGCTCCCTAAACCCGAAACCCTAAACCCGAAACCCTAAGCCCTAAACCCTAAACCCTAAACCCTATCCCCTACATCAACATCCGCATGAGATCTGGTACTTGGGCTCGGAAGCCCAGGTGTGCCTGGCAGCTGTCCAATCCGATCCCATGGCCTTGGAGTTTGTGGCGGAGGTCTTCAAGGTTGGGGTTTAGGGTTCAGGGTTGAGGGTTTAGGGTTTAGGGTTTAGGGTTTAGGCTTAAGGCTGAGCGGACAAGTGGGGGGGCTCTTGAAGGTTCGTGGGCAGTGATAAGTGGGGATATAAGTAGGGCCGCTATACTTATAGCTGGTTAAAGCCTTTTCTGGGGTACTTACAAACCCTACTTCTAATTACCCATAAACCTCCAAGCTTCCCCCCAAATCGGGGCGCCCCTGTTATGGGCAGGTTCCGATATTCGGGGGTTAGTGTCGTGTGGGGTACATGAGCTCGTCCAGCTTCTCTGCGCTGCTCGTAGAGCGTCGGCCTCGGAGGGTTTCGATTTCCGAGGTGACAAGCTTTACAAGGGGCCCTAAACCCTAAATCCTCAACCCTAAGCAGTGGCCTGCACTAGAAAAGGTGCGCAGGGTTGTTAAAAAAAAAAAACCTAAGCCCTTTCTGGCTGTGAGGCAGACCGAAGCTTTGTCTTGCCAGTCGTCCAGAAGAATGGCCGCGCCTTGATCTTTGCGTCGAAGGAGACCTCCAGCTCAGTTCGTTCGTTGCGGTCCCAGACTTTCTAGGCTGTCCGAAAGTGTGTCTACCATTTGTTTTTTTGGGTGGGGGGGGGTTCGCTAGAATGAGGATCTAAGAGTATTCTGGGGTTCTGTCTGTGGGATGCCTGTTTTGGGAATTCCCTTCCAGGGTTTCCAGGGTGAGTCCTCGACTCGGAGCTTGGTTCGTCCCCTGCTTCTGCTAGCCCCCTGTTAGGGCTTCTACGGCTTCAAGGGGTGGGCTGCCTTGGCTGCAGGAGCTGAGGCATGATGAGGAGCTCGTCCTGGCGGCGCTGGCCACACACACAGGCGCAATCGTCCACGCTCCGCCGGCCCTGCGCTCCGAGAGGACCTTCGTCCGCCGAGCCGTCCGCCAGGCAGGCTTGGCCTTGGAGCATGTGGACAGCGAGCTGCAAAGTGACGAGGAAGTGGTGCTGGACGCCATGAGCCAGGACGCATTTGCCCTCCAACATGCCAACGAGGATCTCCGGAAGAGCAGTCGCTTTCTCACGCAGATCTTGGAGCGGTTTGGTGTCGCTGACGACCCCGAGGGCCAGCCTCTCATGGAGAGTGACGCCGAGGACCTCCGCTCGTGCCATGCTGGAACGAACGTGTGCGGGTCAAGGCTGTTAACCAGCCGTAGTCAGCGTTCCATCTCGGGTCGGGTGTCCATCTGCTGGCCCCGCTCTCCCGATCTTGCTGGTGCCTGCGCAGGAGCTCCTGCACAAGGTGCAGGTACTGGAAGCCGTGGAGGCCGAGGCACCTCGTCTACTGCAAAGCCCAATCACTCATGGGGGGTTTGGGTTTAGGGTTTGGGGTTTAGGGGTCCGCCATGACCCGGTCTGATGATACTGGTCCAAGTCGATGAGCGGCTCGCACGATTGGGTCCCTTTCGTGGTTCCTACTCAGTACGACGCCTTCTACCAATAAGGAGCCCAACAAGTTTTCGACCCTAACCCCTAAACCCTAAACCCTAAGCCCTAAATAATTTCGAGAACTGCAACTGAGGTTCGGTCAGATCGCGGGCTGCTTGTGGAGCTACAGCGGAGAAGCTCAGCTGTCCTAGCTTATATTGTTTCGTGGCCCCCCCGAGCTATTTTTTTTATTAGGTTCAAAGCTTCGTTACAGTATCGAAAGAATCAGCGTAGGGGTGCTGCTATTTTGGGAACCCCCCTCCCCCTCCCCCTTCCCCCCATATCAATTCATGATGTTGGGCAGTTGATGCAGCTGGGATGCATGCGCTCGCCCAGGACGGCACACGTTGCTGAAGTCTCTGGCCTGTGTCACCTCCGATGAGGCCATCCACAAGGCCCCTTTGCCTGCATGTTTGGGGCTTAGGGTTTAGTGTTTAGGGTTGTGTTTAGGGGTTAGGGTTACTATTAGGGTTTAGGGTTTAGGGTTTAGGGTTTAGGGTTTAGGCGTCGTGGAGCTGCTCACTGCTGATGTGCACTCGTCGGTCCATTTATTAAACCCAAGACCCGACACCAGGCCACTCTTGTGACTTAAACCTCCGACACCACTCAGAAGAAAACACTTCTTCGCAGCTCCGTCTTCTCCCTACCCAAAGGCTCCCATGCAGCTCCTTCTTGGGCTAGTTACAGGGGATTCTAGTATACTACCCCAAAAAGGTACTTCCCAGGAGCCTTTGGGTAGGCCCTACACCCTAACACCCGCCAGCTTTGGCTTCGAGACTGCACCTTAGGCCCTACGAGCCGGAGTCTTCTCGCTGGGCCGCGCGCTCCGCTCGCTCGAGCAGCTCAGCGCCCGGAACGTTTTTTTGGGTTCAGAAGCAGCGGTCCATTTTGGGGTCTACTATGGCCGGCATATTCCCTATACAAGTTTACTTTAAGGTACGGACCAAACTTCAAAAGGGGTGGCCCGAAGTTTAGTTCATTCTCCTTCTGGAGATAAATGGTCCAGACCGTTGGCTTTGAAGTTTCCGGACGGCTTGTCCGAAAGTGGTAGTTGTTAATAATCACAGGAAATAGGGCAAGCTGGGCTTGTTTTTTGAGATCTTCCTAAGGTGGTTTCCGGATCTTTGGAATGCAGCACTTGCGGAACAGCTGCTTTGTCAGCAGCAGTTGGTGGAAGCCCACGCTACGGACAAGGCCCTTCTTGTCGAAGCTCTTCGTTCGCAAGCCATCAGCCTGCAGCATCTTGGGGAACTGCAGCCGGATTGGTGCAGCGACCGCGAGATCGTGCTAGCAGCCGTGGAGCAGAACGGCGCGGCCTTGCGGCATGCTGCGACCCTGCTGCAGGACGACGGCGGTCTTGTGGCCGCCGCTCTGCGCAACGACGGCTTCGCGCTGGCCTTTGTGGCCCCAGAGTCCCAAGACCAGGCTCTTCTACTCCCAGCGCTGCAGTGGCACGTCGCGCGAGTCGCACGTGTCGCAGAGGCGAGGGCACGTAGCAGCAGTGCGCCGGAGCTTGGGCAGATTTGCGACTGGGTCCAGCAGTGCATGTTTCTTTCGCGGGGCGTGCTGGACAAGCTCGGAGCCAATGAAGGTCTTGCAGTGGAGATACTCCGATTGGAGCTCCTCGCACCAAGCCAGTGTGTAAAGCTAATGTTTGGATGCTTCCAAAGTAGAAGGTCGGATGGGTTTGCTCTTGGCCATGCCAATTCCAGTCTATTGTCTCTGCTTGCTCCTGTCCCGCATTCTGTTTTTAACCGTCAGAGTCTTTCACCAGAGTCCTTCTCCGGCGGCTAAAGCCCTAAACCCTAAACCCTAAGCCCTAAGCCCTAAACCCTAAACCCTAAGGACAAGCATGCGCGGGCTGCACGGGCTCACAGCCCTTCCAACGCTGCGGGATTTCATTGCAGTGGAGCTCGAGGATGACGTCTTCAGGATGCCCCGTCGAGCTGAGCTCCTCAGCAGCCTTGGCACATCGGAGCACTTCTCGAAGTTTCAAAGGGGGGAGACGCTTATGCTAGGTTTGTCATCTGGTCTCAACCAGTCAGAACGAATCTTGAGCAACGACCCCTAGGCTCCAGATTCAAGATCTGAGATTCTTAGGCTCAGATCGAGCAGAACCTTTGTGCAAGCGGCAGTCGCTTGGAGGCAAATTATTATTTTTATTTTGTTGTTTCAACATATATTGTTAATGCATTCTTATTCTTTCACGTTCATTGTATTTAGTATTAGGTTAGAACAAGGCTGTTATTAATATTCGTGTATTTTTAATGATATATTTTGATATCACATTGTTTCATTCATATTATATTATGATGTGTTCTCTCATTTTTCTGTTATGAATATTAGATGATTGTATTGGTGTAAAGATTTCATTGTATTACTATGCTTGTTTATTGCATTATGTTTTTTTAGTCCTTTTTTCCCGTTATTTGATTTCTTTTGTACTTATAGAATTATATTCGCCCATTATTAGTATCATCATGGTATTGTTCTATTGCCATATTGTATAATTGCATGATTGCATGTTTCGGGATATGTTCTTGCGGTTTCACTTGTTCAGTCTTGCTGTTCTTATAGTTCAAAACGAAAATACATATGTTCTTTTACACTTACAGGAGTGCGTTTCTTCATAGATTATTGTATGATAGCCTGAGCCCAGGTCAAGGAGGGTCTTTTCTGGCTGCAGCACGCATCGGAGGAGCTCCAGAGAGATCGGCGCCTGGTTCTGCATGCCCTGAAGCATGACCGCTTCTCACTTCAGCACCGCGTCCCGAAATCCAGGTTTTTGAATGTGAGCCGAGCTGTCAGCCACTGTCAGATTCGCCTGTCCGTCCCTGTCAGCTGTGTGCAGATTGTAGTACAGACCCGTCGAGACTTCAGACCTCTTGGACCTCAGGCACGCCGCCGAAGAACTGCGTGGGGATCGCCGGGTCATCCAGCAAGCGTTGAGGCACAGCGCCTTGGCTTTGGGCCTGGCGTCGGACAGGCTCCGGAGACACAAGCGCTTGGTGTTGGAAGCCGCTGCAGAGAACTTCGCAGCCTTCGATCTCGCGCATGACGACCTGAAGTCGGACAAGCGCTTCGTGCTTCGTGTTGTGAGACCGGGCTGCAGAAAGCTTGCTTCGTTGGATTTGACCCGAACACGAAAGCAACTCCGGGAAGTCTAGATCAAGGAGTCACCAAGGTAGCCGGGCTCATAAACTAGCAACATAAGAATAGACTAGTGTAATGATACAACAACATGCGTTTATTGATATTTTATAAGATAGTTCAATAGGAGTAAAACAATAGTGGTATATAACATCAATATAGTAGTATAGGAATATAGAAATATGAAGTATGTTTGAAAGATAGTACGAAAATGACAAATAAATAAGTAGTATAAGAATTTGGTAATATGTTTAGAAGATAGTATGATACTAAAATAACCACAGAATATGATGATGCCCTACAACAATAGGCTCATAAGCTCACGCCGAGGCATGAGGCTGGATTCGCGTTGCAGTTCGCCGCAGCCGCCCTGCGCGCGGATTGCGATGTTGTCCTGGAGGCAATCCGGCAGAACGTGTATTCGATGGAGTTTGCCGCGGACGAGCTGAAAGCAGACCGGGACTTTGTCCTCAAGGCCCCTCATGTTCAAGCAAATACTCCAGTGTATATATATATATATATATGATATGATATGATATATTATATATTATATTTATTATATATATATATATATTCTCGACAGCTCATCGTCGTGGCGGTAGCACATGTTAGGAACTTCCCAGGCCATGAGCATCAACCCCACAGCGCTGGAGCTTTCCGGAGAAGTGATCAAAGCCTCTCGTCACATTGTCCCATCAGCTAAACCCTCTTTCCTAAACCCCCTGTCCTAAACCCCCCCCTTTCTGCTTAAACCCTAAACCCTGAACCTAGCTATCTGCAACTCCTTCTGTCATACACCCAAGGCTGACAAGGACTTGATGCTCCAAGCGCTGAAGCTCAGCCCCGCAGCGATTGGGCGTGCAGACACGTCGATCAAGTCTGACAAGGTTCGTGGGGGTCCGATGGAGGAGTTTGAAATACGTATAGACACACACACACTCACCTTTAGAGCAACTCGTGTTGGACCAGTCTTAAGCAAGTGGCAGGCAGTAAGACACGTCGTGCAGTTCTGGCAATGCAGTTGTGCTATCGTGCTGCCCTGAGCAGCACTATGCAACACCGCCACCTCGCCCAGCCTGCTTTACACAACCCCGCAGGGCGTCGTGTGTGGCCCTAAACCCTAAACCTTAAACCCTAAGCCCTAAGCCCTAAGCCCTAAGCCCTAAACCCTAAACCCTAAACTTATGATGTTCCGTGACCCCATGAGTGCCAAGTGAGGAGGTGGTTCTTCGTGCTGTCGAGCAGAACACCCTGGCGGCGTACGATGCAGCAGAATCGGTCTTGGACCGCGAATTTGTGCAGGAGGCCAGCATGCAGCCTCCAAGGTGAACAACAGCGTGCGAGAATCGACCCGAACTTTATTATCATAGGACATGGCTTAACAAGATGAAAAACTCATAGAACATGGTTTAACAATTCCAGATATGTGCAGCATCAGTTCCTGAATTCTTGTGCAGGCTGCCCATCGCAAGGGGCCCCTGTGTGGGGAAATCCTCGACGAGGTGAAGGCGAGCAGCTTTGGAATTCCTCGTGGGCGACACCCTGAAGCCTTACACCCCAACAAAAACCTAAAACCTAAGCTCCAAAACTTAAAACCCTAACCCAAAAAACCTAAAGCCTAAGCCTTACTTACCTAAGCTCCAAAACTCGCAGAAGACTAATATGTCTTTTTGGCAAGCAGGCCCATGTACACCTCGTAGAGTCCTAAACCCTCATCTGAAATGGCATTCTGTCAGGGTTTAGGGTTCAGGGCTTTAGGGTTTTAGGGTGCTTGGGGTTTTAGGGTTTCCAGGGTTTAAAGTTTATGGTTGTTATCGGACTTTAGGGTTGTTTGGGTTTTCGGGCTTTGGGTTTATGGTTTTCACCCTTGATGGACGCACAGTTCTGCCCAAAGTGAATTTGCAGTTTTTAGGTTTGTTAGGGCTTTCAGGTTTCAAGGTTTTGCGTTGCGCAAAGTGAACTTCAAAGTGGCAGAGAGGTTCGTGACATCTTAAGACCCTCCTGTCATCTCCTGTCTGAATTATGACTTGAGAAGGTTGGACCCGTCATCACCCGAAGCGCTAAGCCCAAAACTAGCGCCAAACCCCTTCAAGGAAGTTCGGAAGCTGCCGTTTCGCAGCCGTGAGCCCGTGCCTATGGCTGCAAGATATGCTTCGGGCGTTCTTAGGCCCCTTTGAATCAAAGGAGCCCAGTTACTAGATCCCGAACGGGACGCCGAATTAGAGCATATTAGAGCCGTCCCCCAAAATATGTGTCGGGGGGTCGGTGTGGACTGAGACGTTCAAACCTTTTCCTCCAGGATCTCGATTGCGAGGAATTGGCGGGGCCATAAAGCGTTAGCTACCCTGCAAACCCCCTAAACCCTGTGAACCCTACAAACTTTGTAAACCCTTTCTTGCAAGCCTCTCTGTAGCCAGCTCGGCCACCTATGACATGAAAGCGAACGATCATCCCTGTAGCATGAAGTGCTTAAACCACGTTCACCTAAATCATGCAAGTGTGCGTTTGTTCAGTCTGCGTGGTAAGGAGTGGTTTGTGGAGCTCTACAACTCCAAGTTCTCCTAGCCAGCCAAAGCTGCGCGGCGGAAGCAAGAAAATGGCCCCCAGGGTTCACGGGTCGTGCAGCTGACAAGTTCTGTGACACAGGGAGATGCAACACTCACGCGATCCTGCGACACATGCACCATAGATAACGGATCTGGGGTCTTGGGACGATTATTTCCTCGGCGTGCGTCTGCGGCAATTTGAGGCCTTGGGTTTTGCTGACTCAGCCCCCCACATTGAAACCAAAAGCCCAATTTGTCCCCATTTCCACTGTGCGCGTCGGCCCGCTGAACTCTGAACCCATGCAAGTCCTGTCCTCTGGGTATGCCAGGCAACGATTCGTGCGGCATTTTGCGACTTCATGATTTTGATGCTCGAGTTCGGACCGGGTCCGTTTTTTGAGTGAGGGTACTGCTTCGGCCGTTGCTGCTGCAGCTGTTGCTGTCACACATTTGCAGATATTTCGCTTGCATGTAGGAGCCCTTGGCACGTGGGCCTGGGATACGTTTGAAAGTCCGCAATTGCAGTCGTATGGCGTGTGGAACATGCTGCTGTGTGGGTGCGTGTGTTTTTGAAGGCGAGGAAACTGCCCGTGATGTCATATGGCAGTTTAAGTTCGTGTACCACATGATGGCGATTGAGCTTCCTCCCTGGCGAAGGCCAGTGCTGCTGGGCGCTCAGACTCGCTTCCCCCTGAGTTGTGTGGTCCATCATGTCAGCTGTCACCTGCCTTCTATCGTTTCCACTTCCACATATATTTCTGCTCATTCCCCGTCCCGCTTCATTCCATGCCTTTCCATTTTCAAGTCCGTTCATTTCCCAGCCTCATGTTCGTTCATCTCCTTCCTGTCTCATTTCTTGTATTTTTCAGTGCCGTGCCATCTCCGGCATTTCCGCTCATGTTCGCTCAAACCTCTGTTCATTTGGTCACCAGTTCCGCTCTAGTTTGGCTCTTTTCCGTTCTTGCAACGTTTTACGTTTTTGGCCAGGCGCTCCATGTCCCAAATGCCTCCTGCCCGACAGTGATGCTGTGGACATCGGCGGAACTGAAACACCAAAACAAGGCAAGCGTCGTCCCCCTTTACATGGTATTTTTGGCAGGGCTTCTGCACGCACCAGAGTGCTGTTTGTGCATATTTAGACATGGGTGGAAATCAAAGCGGAAGTAAGTGACGGAAATGTGCGGATGAAATGGAAAGGAGCAGGAGACTAAGCGGATGCAAGCGCTACATGAGCGGAAGCGTGAGCAGGGAAAACAGTGGAGGGGACGAAAGCGAACGAACATCAAAGCGGAAGTCACGGAAATGCGTAGAAGTAAAATGGAAATGACGGAGATGCGTGAGAGGGAAGCGAGGACTGAAATACACAGAAGTGACAGATAAGCAGCGGAACAATGAAAGCTGAATTGAGTTTGGGAATGACGGAAATCACGGACATGCAGCTGACCAGATATTAATGAACCCGGAAATGACGGAAGCGATCGCACAAGTGAGTGACACAGTTTGATAGATGGATATAGATGGCCTAGGCGGGCGCCGCGGCGCCGTTCTTCGAAGCAGACACGGTCCATAAAATAGCCGTTGTTGCAATCATGAGATGCTGTGTGTTTTTGCGATGTGACTAGGGGCTTCACTACGTCCCCATGCGCCTTGCAAAGATGGAATACGTCAGCGCGATTTCCCGCGCCATGGTGCGCGAGCGCACGGCCAACTGGGCGCGACAAGACCTTGCTTTAAACTCCCCTGCGCAAATGTGCCATGTTATGCGGTGCCAGGAGCGAGAGCTTCGAGCTTTCGGCTTTGAGCGCTTGGTCGGTGGATGTGTCAGCAAACGGGCGCTTTCTGTGCCACCTCTGTTGCGGCGGTGCTGACATCATCCAAATGATTGAAAAAGCATCCGAGAATGCTTCAAAGTCTTGGCTTCTGGAGATTGCATACTACAGAGTGCTTTGCGAGGCATCGTGCGTCAGAGTTGCTGGGCAAACAATATGAGCAAATGCCCCGCTCAATCATTGAAGCGACGGATGGGGCACTTGACAGAATCCCATCACGTCCCATTGTGCTTTTCTGTTTGGACGCTTGACGTGTAGCCGAAGCTTCATACAGGTTCTGAAACCCAACCTTTGCGACATTCTGTGTTGGTCTGTAGCGCAAGGCAGCTTTAGCTGCGCTTAGGATGCAGGTCTGGCTTCAATGGATACGAGCTTCAAAGCCTGCGTGATCAGGTGCCATCTCTGTGGGACGTTTGTCAAGACCCATCTGCTGTCCATAGACCGCAGACCTTGACGTTGATGTGGATGATCTTGGCCGTGTACATGTGTAGTGAGTGATCTTGCTCATGTCAAGCGTATGGTAACGATTCAATTCAGGGCCTTGTATGGTGCCAACAAAATATGAGCAACGTTGCATTTCTGGGCTGCAAGGGAGACGGACACGTCTGTCCCATCGGTGAGGTGTGAGTGCTTCCTCAGTAGCATTTAATCTCAAAGCGTCTAACTATTCGGCATTTGCTTTAGTAAGTCAAAGTAGTGCTGCAAGGAGCACCCCTATGACATTATTGAAATAATCTTGCGCGGTCTGATAGCTATATAGAGGAAATGGAGGGAATAGAAAAGAGTGCGGGCCCGCCTATAAGTGGTCCAGGGACACACCTGGCCGACAATGCCAACATCTCAGACTTCAGAAATGGGCGATCCATGTGCCAAACACCCTACCTACATTCGACACAAGCGCAGCAACCCATGAACCCGTGATGATGTCGCTGCAAAGTTTGAGGGCACGGGGTGGGACCCTCTTTGGCTCATGCTATGAAGTACAAGCATTTGCTGATTCGTTTGTGGGTACGGCTACTCATTGTTGCCTTCCTGTGGCAGCATGCCTGTCGCTTAGATCTCTGCGGCTTTGCAGTTGTAGCTCCCGGCCTAAAGGCAGTTTCATGAGCATGACAAGTGAATCCACGCCTTCAGGGCCTGGGAAAAGCTCGACAGGTGAGGAGCTTCGAAGAAGGGGACATCATCCTCAGCAAGGGAGATTCTCCACAACAGGGCTCCAGAAGAAGTGTAAGCAGGCGCCAGGAGATGCTGCAGGTGCTCGTCATGGGAGACCACACTCTTCCGTTCTGGGATGGAAAGCATCAGAGGACCCTGGGCGGGACATCTCTTGTCGAGCCCACGAGTGTAGGAGCAATCGTCTGGAGGCAAAGCATGCAGCATCCACACGTTGGGAGTGCTTTGCGATAGTTCACAAATTGCCTCGTCTAGTAGTCTTCCTGATCTTTTTGAGCACGGAAGTTTGGCTCAAATAGCACATCTTGCAACTCTGCATAGGAGTGTTTGCGCCGCAGTCATGGCGTTCGTGACCTATTGGCCTCCCTTTCGCTGGCGGTCGATGGGCAGGGCGTGCGTTCAGTTCAAAACACGCGAAGCGGCCGTCGCAGCCGTCCAAACATTGGATGGCTCGATGCTTGATGGACGTGCAGTTCGACTGGAGGAATGGACAAACAAGCGCTGGCCTTCCTCAGCAGCTACCTGCGTGTTTGTTCGAAACCTTTCCTGGAGGACACGGGGCTGGAAACTCAAAGCACACATGCAGGCTGCCGGCGAGGTGACCTGGGCCCACGTGCTGACCCTGGATGGCATGGGCGAGGCGGCGCAAAAGTTTATTGATCGTTCGAAAGCACCTGACACAGCGTTAGCCAGTTCACACCCTCGTGCTGCAGCGACGTCGCAACCTACATCATCTTGCGAGCTCTCCCGGAACGCATCAAACACAAGCCGTGGCCATGTCCCTGCGAAGTTTCTGAGCCTGCCTCTGGTCCTTCTGGATAACGTGATGGGCTTCTTGCGGGATTTCGCCATATGCGTCACGTTGTGCCGCAATGCAGCTGCCAGTGCTGCAGAATATGCGACGTGCAAGGTGCATGCTCAGAAGAAAGAGGCTTTCCAAAGGTGCTTTTGGATCCGCTCTGGAAATCCCCAAGCCCTGGGTCACCGTGACGATCAAGCAGCGCGGTGCCTACTTGCATGTCTAGGCTTCGCGTGCACCTTTGCGCGGGTTCGCCCAAAAGCTCTTGTGGCGTTGGTGGAGGACTTGCTTCACAGCTTCAGGCACGATGAAGGAGCTGTCCGTGTGGGTGCCGCAAGCTTCTTGAAGGAGTTGGTGGCACGCAGGACGCCCTTGCAAAGATTGATTGCAAAGCACATGGTGGCCTTTCTGGCAGAAGCACAATGCATGCCCAGTGAACGAGCGCGAGCGTGCGCAATTCTAGCATGTTGCGGGCCTGACTTGGGTCGCTTTGGACGCCCGTGCGTGAGTGCTCTAATCAAGGCAGTTTGTCGACAGGAGAAAGGTGCCTTCGAAGCGCTTGACAGCATGCGGAGCCAATACCCTCAATACCCTGTCGCCGAGGCTTTGCAGGCCAAAACGCCTACCGGACAAAGTTCGATAGCCATTTGGATTGATTGGGGTCGTGTGCAGAGCGCCTTGGTAGCGCCAGGACGGGTCCAGCGCAGCGGCCCGAAAGGCAGCAAGCCAGGGCGATGAGACAAAAAAACAACAGCAGGGCACGACTCCTGCTTGCTAATTTAGGGGCTGATGCCAGGGGTGGGCAACGCCAGAAGGGGCAAGTACACGTGCGCTGGAGCAGTTTGCAAGTAAAACTAGAAGGCAGAGCACACTAAACCAGCCTAGCCCCTAAACAGCTTAACTGCTACTGCAAAGACTACTGCCCAATCTTCACCGCGCGGGCCGCGCGGGCAACTTTATTCCGTGCCACTTTTTCCCAAGAGACGCATGCGTCACAGCCAGGTGCACACCATGCACTCTCAGATGTACTATGATGTACTCTTATGTGCTCCCACAGCCAAGCAACTGTATGTCCCAGCGTTATTGCTGCAACCCAGGATTAGGGTCAAACGAAGTTGGCCGTTTGCTCCGCATGTTCTGCGCACTACGGCAGCCAGTCATGAGGCCGGGTGGTGGACCTTGCTGGATGTGGTGGGATATGAGCCTTTTTGTAGCTATTGGTTGGGATGTTCCCCCGTGTACTAACAGTCCTGAATAGGGACTACAGTACCCCCAGTTTAATGATCCCTATGAAGGATTCTTAGACATTCTTAGTATATGGGGGGAACATCCCAAGCTATGGGCATCTGTGAAGGGTTTTCCAAGTGCACAGCTTCACGACGCAGCGCTGCGATGCGAAGGCCGGCGCAGACCACGCTTCGCCTCGCTGCCACCGTCTTGGGTGGAGCTGGGGAGAGTTGTGCTGAGATGGGGGAAATTGGCTGATGTTAACACTAAACTCCAAACCCTAAACCCTGAACCCTAAACCCCAAACCCTAAACCCTAAACCCTAAACCCTAAACCCTAAACCCTAAACCCTAAACCCTAAACCCTAAACCCTAAACCCTAAACCCTAAACCCTAAACCCTACCACCCCAAACCCTAAACCCAAACGCTTGAAGTCCTTGAAGTGCCAAGGCTGCCCGCCTGGCTGCATCGAAGCTTCGAGCCTGCTGCCTGAAGACGGTCGAACTGAGAGGATGTAAACTTGGGTTTAGGGTTTAGGGTTTAGGGTTTAGGGTTTAGGTTTTAGGATTCAGGGTTTTAGGGTTTAGGGTTTCGGATATAGGGTTTAGGGCTTGATGCATGCCTTAGCTTACTCGGAGGTGCATAGGTGCTTTGAAACCTCAATTCTAACTGTACCTCTAACATGCTTTGAGGATTCAGAGAGAATGTTTGGATTTGTTTTTGGCTTCTCCAGGTAAATTGTGCTTTTTCAAGGCAAAGTGTTTTTCCAGACAAGTACTGCTTTTGCTAGGAAAAGTATTGACCAAATACTATACGAAACAGGCCATACCCTGAACCTCCAAGTAGGCCACCCTTATACAGCAGGGTTGAGGGCTTTCGGGCTTGGGGCAGTTTTGGGTTGAATGATTTAGTGTTTGTAAGGCTGAGAAGCACAGAGTGGCCTAACAGGGACATCATCGAGCCCTGCTGTGATCATAGCCGGTCTTACTTGACACTAGTACGGTCATGGGGGGGGGGCCCTATACCCCAATGCGCTCTTCAGGCTGCGCCGTGGTGCGCATTCCGCCATGGCAGCACCATGGCGCAGGCACCCGTTGCCTCAAAGCTGCTAGGGGACCTAGGGTTTCGGGTTTAGGGTTTAGGGGTTAGCATCTTGGTGTGCAAGGTTTTTGAGGGGGGTCAAGGGTTTGAGGGTTCGCAGTCACACTGAGCACGAAAGTCCCAATGTTCTTCGCCGTGGCAGCTCCGAGGCACGAATTGTGAAGCGGTCGCAGTTTGGAGATGAGGGGCCCCCCCCCCCCCCCCCCCCTCCCCCTCGATTTAAGGTATCCTGCCGCGCCCTGTTTACCTTTTTTTTCGAGAGGGAGGGGGGGGGGGGAGGGGGGGTGGGGTAGTGTTATGGGAGCGTTATGGGGAAGGGATTACCTTCTACTAGTATTCCCAAAGCAATGCTTCTCACGCTGGGTAGCAACTCAGCAGTGCGGCTTAGGTGGCTTAGGACTTCGGACTTGGGAGTGAGGTGCAAGACCACACGTTCGCTCAGCAGGAAAGTCTTTGCATGCCCTAGCCCTCTACCCGCACCTTCGCATTGTAGAGTAGAGTGCATCCGACACAAAGGAAAGTTCAGTCAAAGTGGGGCTGCTGTCTGAGTCCTCCCTAAACCCTAAACCCTAAACCCTAAACCGTAAACCGTAAACCCTAAACCCTAGACCCTAAACCCTAAACCTGTTGCAGCGGCAGGAGACTTCGAGCCCGCAAATGCCCGTGGCTTCGTCCCCTCAGCAGACTCAGGCTGTCGGCACATGGGAGTTTCCGAAATTAGGGGAACCTTATTGCAGTTCCGTGTTATGAGGGAATCGGGGGTTTAAAAAAGGGGTCCCTTTTTTTCGTAAACCCCCACATGTTGAAGAGTTGCCCACGATGTCTGAAGCGAGTTTTCGTCATTGTCCCGACAGGCGACGCCTTCCACCACCGATGAGGACTACCTAAGCCTAAGCCCTGAACCCAAAACCGCAGAATCTAGACAAGCCCTACGACGTATCACGCCCGGAACTTCTCCTTTGCTTCTGGACGATCTTCTCGAAGGCATGCTATGGCAAGGCGTGTGCTGAAATGAAGTGCCTTGTTTGTGCAGGATGCCGGAACTACCATCTTCAGCCCAACAGAAGAACATCAGGCAGGCTCATGCGTAATCAGAGTGCATGGGGGTGGGGGGGGGGGGTGAAGTAGAAGCAAGTTCGATCCGGCATAGATTCAGAAGGAGACCGGGCACAAACCACAGGGAAGAAGAATCGTCACAAGGCAGAACGAGTGGCCGTGCAGCGCGCGCACGGCGCCCCGCCTTAAAGGGAAGCCGAAGAGCGGAGCTTTGCTGGTTAAGGGTTTAGGGTTTAGGGTTTAGGGTTTAGGGTTTAGGGTTTCATCGGCATCCGGTGGTTTGGTTGTTTTCGCCCGAGTCGCTCATACCCACCTGATTCAAGCTGAAGGAAGGATGACCCACGCAAAGAGCATTCCCAACGCATCCCCGAAAGATGATGGCAGGCAACAAATGAAGGCATGTTGTTCCTTGAGCACCACATTGGGACACATTGATGCTCGGGGAGAGGGGTGTTTGCGAAGCTTCCAGAAGAAGAAGGCGAAGAAGAAGACGAAGAAGAAGAAGAGGACAAAAGAGTGAGCAACCATATCCCATTTCTGAGAACCCCCAGAAGGTGCAGTACCCGAATTTTGGAAGCCCCCATCCCATCTTCTTGCCTAACCCTAAACCCTCAACCCCAAATCCTTTTTGGGAGGCTCTGCGCGAGATGGTCAGGTCCTTCGCCGAGGCGGAGGTGGAACCGCAGGCGCTGGGCCTTGTGAAGGTTTCATTGGGATCTAGGGTTTAGGGTTTAGGGTTTCGGGTTTAGGGTTCAGGGTTCAGGGTTAGGGGGGCTCTCTGACATTACGGTCTCTTGTTTTGGGGGTTCCCGTGCACTAAATTGCGGAGTCCTGCAAGAAGGGTAACCAAAGAGGGACGGTAATTCAGAGAAGGGCCCACATGCAGCTGGCGGTGGATTGATGTTGTGACATGTTCAGGCCATCGACTTCAATCGCGAAGAGAAGATGAATCTGCAGCTCAGATTCACCAGTAGAGTGCCGGGGCATGATTGAACGTGGCATCAGCCAGGACGCTTTCAATCCTAAATCCCTTTAAGCCTAAACAAACAGTAAACCCTTCATGGGCATACTCTGAAGAGTCTTATTAGTAGTAATTTTTATTCACAAAGAATAGTGCTTGCAGAAATTATAATCATGCTAGCAATCCCAGCAGTCGGAGCACAAAAAAAGACTTCTACCACCCCCACTTCACCACCACCTCTACCACGAGCAACTACCCACCATCACTACTACCCACTGCCGCTACTACCCACCACCACCAGCACCAGCACCATGGCCACTGCCACACACCACACACCACCTCCACTACCACCATTACCACCACTGCCGCTACTCCTACCATCCCCGCCACCATAACCACCACTACCATTGTTAACCTTAAACCCTAAACCCGAAACCCTAAACCCGAAACCCCAAACCCTAAACCCTAAACCCTAAACCCCAAACCCCAAACCCTAAACCCTAAACCCTAAACCCTAAACCCTAAACCCTACCCTACGACCGAACCAGCAAAGACCCCAGGCCCCTGTTCCGAAAGCTGGGGGAGCTCGGCCTCCTTGGCGTCACGGTGCCCGAGGCGGCCCGAGGGTGCTGCCTTTGCCCTCTGAGGGGTTTAGGGTTTAGGGTTGAGGGTTCAGGGTTTAGGGTTCAGGGTTTCGGTTTTAGGGTTTGGGGTTTAGGGTTTAGGGTTTAGGGCTTAGGGCTTAGGGTTTAGGTTCTATCTTCCATAGTGGTTGGTTGAGGAAAAGATTTCTTAAAAGACGTGGGTGTTCCTCAAAAAGCTGCTGTATAGTGAGGACCCCTGCGTGATAGCTCATGATCTAAGGGGGGTATATTGTGGCAAAGCTTAGATCACCTCCACCCCTTCCCCATGATCCCCTCCCCCCAGCACCCCGTCCACGCCCAGGAATACGGTGGAAGCGGCATGGACGCCACGGCCGCCGTGATTGTCCACGAGGCGACGCGACTAGCAAGGCAGCAGGAGTTCCAGAGGCACTGCTCAGGTTTAGGGTTTAGGGTTCAGGGCTTCTGGCAAATCAGCTTCTGAAGACACACATGTGGGGATTCTCCCCCTTGCCCCTGGTAGGCAATGCCCCGCCCTCAGTTGTCCTCAGTTGAGCGGCTCCTATTCCAGGAGCTGGCTGCAGTGGATCCTGCCTTCTGCCTGGCTTACCTGGTGGGGCCTCTCTGTTTGTCTCTGTTTGTGGTCTCAGCATTGAAGCTCTCAACACATTCCCTAAGGTCGAAGCCGGCATGATAAGAATTGAGTAAGCGTACAGACAGGGAGCATGGGATTGCGGGAGTGTTAGACTTGAAAGTGGCTACGCGACACTTGAAATGCAGTTCTTAGCATG